AAGACCATGCACATCAATCACATGATTCAAATTGGTCAACGATTAAGGCATGAGAAGCCTTCATTACCATAAGTTGGTAATAGACTTTAGGACCCTTGTATGCACATCATGAAAACTATGTTTTTGGGTAAGTGTGAAAAATGGATTTTTGAAGAAAACATTTTTCCAAGATAATTTTTCCCAGTAATTACTCCTTACACTTCAAATAGCCAAAATTGATTTTATGGGATTTTATGACCAAGTCTACATTAGTCTGCATAAGGATTCATTTTTACTAAAACTGTCAGAAATCCAAATTTGTACTAAAACTGAATTTCTACATTTTGATTTAGTTCAATTTTCTTATATTTTTTATTGAATCCAAATGGGGGGAACTTTCTTATTTACATTGTAAACTTAAAGTAAATGGACATATAAATACTGTAAAGGCATTTACTTAAATGTTTTTAATGGAAATAAGCTGTGTTGTGTGCAGAAGTCCTTTACAGAAGCCTGTTGCAAACCACAAACAGTTTCATTTTTTGGTAAATTAAATTGAGCCGACTCCCTTTTTCAACTAAGTCGACTCGCTTAGATTGAGAGGCCAGTCGACTCAATTAGGCCGAGCCTTATCACTTTCAAAACCCAGAAAATAGGCAACTTAGCCGACTCAGTTTCTAATTGAGTCAACTCAGTTTTGAACTAAGCCGACTTAGTTCATAACTAAGTCAACTTAGTCCTAAAGGAATAGCCAACGGCTATATTCCTTCTGTGTCAGAGCTACGCCTCTTCTTTAATCCTTTTGTAACTTTCCCCATACTTTACACAGACCTTTATACACATATTTCGAGCGCCTTTGCATCAGATACAGATAAGTCCATCAAGTAGAATCCAAAATAACGGTTATATTACACCTTTACCTACAATTTACTTGCTGGAAATTGAAGTTGCATACACTGAAAATCAGTCACATCTTGCTACTACATCTATTTGATGATTTTGTTTGTTCATACTTGTTAAAACTAAAATAGCATATTGTTTATTTACTTAGTTTTTAAATCTGTCATATTTAAACAAGGACTCTATTCACCAACAACCAACCCCCCCCCCCCCCCTCTCTCTAGAGTCCATTCTTGGGCAACAATACTGTATACTTGCCCTACTACCATCTTAATCTTGATAATTGGTCTTCTTCTCCTCCTTCTACTCTAAGCATCTCCTCTATTTCCTTCGTATTTGTATTTCTAATATCACCATTATATTATTGTTTATTGTTTGATTAAAAAAGAACCCCTACACACAACATCTCTTTTCCATTTTCAAGCCAATGCCAGGCAGTGACAGAACAATCGATATTACAACAACAGGGGGACTCTCATTATGGATAGGCCAAGGACCCCAAAGTCATGAAGCAAAGGACAATATTAATCTCCAAGAGAGACATCAAATTGGGACTGTGAGTTCAGGAGCAGTTTATGATGATCCAATTGTATCTTGTTCAAACCTTTCACCACCTGAATATCAACTGAATTGGGTGATGGAAGCAAACATTCGACGGATGATGAACCAATAACAAGCCCTTTACTTCACTTGAGCAATGTTAAGAATGGTGGAAGTCATCCTGTAAGTGTTCCTTCATTGTACAGCACCCAACATTGCTCTCATCAAACACCTACAGCGAACATGTCAGCAACAACTCTACTGCAAAAAGCTGCCCAAATTGGAGCAACTTCAGGTATTGATACATCATTCCTAGGAAGCTTAGGATTGAAGTGCAATAACAATATTCAAGTTCAAGATGGGAACAAGTATTGTGGATTGTATTGTAGTACAAACCCTATATCCACTAATCTTGGAACTACTGATTTGGAGAGCTCAGTAAATGATATCTTCACTTTGAATCAGTTGCAGATGTACCCCTCAAAGCGTCGAAATGTGCAGAATGGGAAAACTAGGAACTTTTTGGGTGTTGGTATGCAATCCATCTACCACCCACCATCAATTAATGGATGGACTTGATCATATGGAAATTTCATGAATTGCTTCTCTGTTGGAACTTGGAAAGCAAAATAGAAATTAAAGTTGGGAAGAGAGAGAGATTAGTGTGTGAACTTTGCAGAGAGGGAAAGGTAGCAGTGCTTGATGGGAGCTAAAAATGTGTTTAGTAAAACTATTCAAAAGCTGAAGAAGGAGAGGAGATCTCTGCATATTCCCTCCTGAAAGCTGTGATCCCTTTAATGTAGTGGCTTTTGTTTTTGATAAAAAATAAAAATAAATAAAAAATAAATAAAAGAAGAAGAAGAAGAAGAAAAAAAAAAAGAGGTAAGTGGTGGGGGCAAAGGAAGAAGTTCTTTTCAACTCCATTATTGCAATGTTTCATCTTTTGTGATGGTTTTAATCCTCTCAAAATGGTGTTGAAAGAGAAATCTAGTGGCAAAGAAAGGCTTAGCCTACTGAGTAAAATATATATGTAGCTCTTTTTTGTTCAACCATGCAAACTTGTAGATAGCAAGAATCATTGTATTAGCTATAAGCCTTTAACAAATGCAAGAAAGTGAGGGAAGTCAATATAAGGCTTCATATTACCCCCACCCATAAATGAAAGGATTTTCTCCATGATGATCTTTAATATCCTTTTAATCTTTCAGCATTATAGGTCTTATAATAATGTTATCAACTACTGACATAGCCTTTATATCAGACTGCAAAGGCTTCTTGTCTTGAATCCAATTTAAGGTACACCTATATAGTATCTATGAGGGACCTCTATAATTATTTGTTTTTGAGTAAATTCCATTAAATCAAGCAACCTCTATGATTAATGATTTTTTTTTTTTTTTTTTGAAAGGTGACCTCGATGATTATTTTTTCCAAAGCAATTCCATTAAATCACCTCTTATCATCTTGCTTGTCATTTTGTTTTTCAATTCTACATAACTCAAATGGGTAAATTTTTCCCCATGCATTAACTCTAATCAAACTGAGATTGAAAACTTTTAAGTTTATTTTTTTTTCCCCTAATGTTTAATGAGGATCGTTCCAACCAGAGGCCATTTGGACTTGTAGTTACGCCATAAACTCAGGATTCACAATCACATTCAAATTACGGATATTGCTTAAACCAGGATTCGAACTTAAAGACTCAATAATAATAACCCTGAGTCTCTGACACTTTCATACAACATTTATTTTTTCTTCTACTTTGTTTTTTAGTTTTGTTTTCATTTTTCAGGACTGTTTTTGTAGCATGTTTAGGTGTCTCTATTATGGGTAGTATCTACCGACAGTATACAGGAGAAAACAGATGAAAAGGAAAAGAAAATAAAGAAGAAAGAGAAAAAGAGGCCATATTCTTGCACCGGCCTCCTCATTTGTATGCTTTTTCTTGCATGATTAGACCAAATCCTCAAATCTTCCAATTAAGGTCCAAAATTAGAGCTTGTGGTATGTAAAAGATAAGGTAGGTGACATGCAATAAAGAGAGAGAGAAGGAAATGGCCGTCATCAAGTGTACTGACATTCGTTCTCCTCGTGTTCCTGTTTCCCAAAAAACAACTAGGGTCTCCACACGATCAAGAAAGCTGCAAACTGGACGGACAATGTCCATGGTTGGATTTCATTTGCTCTTTTGATAAAAGGGAATGTGAATGATATCCTCTCAGACAGCTGGAAGCCAAATTTGGCATTCACAACAGCCGTTCAAACAAGCATATATGTTAGTTGCTCCTCCACATTATAAGCATATATGTTGATTGTGTTTACTAGTATCAGTCCTTAAAAGTTCCAGAGATTTTTCAGCAGATAATTCCCCAGATCAATTGTCTGGCTTTCTATTATTGCTCATTTGGTGGTTGAGAAAACTGTACCTAAAGAAAAGTAGTTTTGTGATAATAATTTGGTGGTTGCAATGCTGTTTAAGAATTCTAATTTTCTTCCAATATTTTAGTTGTGACTTGAGTTCGAAATCGAAAACAGCCTATCCTGGGCTAGGGTCGAGAAACAGAATTGTGCTCTAAAAAGTGAATCAGGTAAAAATATATATATATTCAGAAATCACAATTCGATGAGGTTTGGTTTGTTCATAATAGGGCTCTTTCATGGTCATGCAACGCATTTCAAAGACAGCTTTGAAAGACATTTAATTAAAATTTTAAACTAAATTCCTTTAACTCTTCAAATTCCAAATATTCTTTCAAATTCCAATATACTCCCAAACACAACATGAGCTCTTTTACTAGGCTACCAATGCCAGTAAAATAATTTCTCCCCACTTTGAATTAATGAAATCACGCAACGTTATACATAAGACCATATTTTTCGCTGTCATGACCTATTCAATTAAAAAATAAAAAAATAAATAAATAAATAAAATAATTCCTCTGTTTTGCTCTATTCAATTAATGAAAAAATCAATTATCACCGCATTTGAACCCTTTCAAATTTGAAGGTCCTGGTAGACGAACCACCATAAAAAGCATGCATTTGAGAGACTAACCATTAATAACGGACGGTTCACACATCTTAAACATAGGGTACATGTTGGAAAAATACTTGAAGTTGAAGACATCATCTATAACTACCTTCCACATTAGACACAAAAGTTATTTGTTGAACCCAAACTTCAATAATTATCAAAATGACCAAACATATATTACACATTCTATAATGCATGAAGATGAGTTCATAAAACTGTTTCCTTCATTTAGAGCTAATACCACAGGAATTTCATCTCAGGGGAGCCAATAATTTGTTTCTGCTCCGCAGTCAGCCTTGTCGGGAACTTGATGTTGAATTTGATTCTCAGATTTCCTTTATTTGAAGGATCTTTTGGGACCGGCATCCCTTCTTTTTGAACCACCTCTTCGTAACTGGGATGAATCACATTATTGATTGGAATGGTTAAACTCCTGCCATCAAGGGTAGTGAGATGGACAGTGTAGCCTATCAAAGCTTTAGCCACAGGTATCTTCAGTGTGACAACCAAGTCATTCCCGTCACGAGTGAACACACTGTGAGGTTTCTCGTCGATGACGAAGACAAGATCTGAAGGTATTACATTTGGCCGCTCATTACCTTTCTCTGGGAAGGTGATCTTTGTGCCTTTCTTCCAGCCAGGCTTGATGTCAATAGTTAGAATCTCCTCCACTGGCGTGGTCTTGCTGCACCAACAAAAGAACACACAAGTTAGAAAAATGGTTGGGCATCATAGCAACCAAACAAGGTATACCAGCAAAATGCAACAAACACCGGCTTTTCTGCGCATCACTAATGAAGTATGAACTCTAGATAACTTCTATTAGTAACCTTATGCATATACAGCTGAATGTCACTGAGTGTAATAAATAAATTAGTGACAGCATCACCACCTGATACAATTTAAGGGAAAATTTTTATCGCTATGGAAAGCTAATAGTTCACACGCAACGAAAAGAAACATTGCTCTGAGGTCCTAACTTGAGACATCCTTCTTGTGATGTATAAGATCTTTTAAAGTATTTTAGTCCGTAGGTGGAACAAAATATAGAAGCTGCCGTTTCTGAGAAGAGAGATGGTCAAAAAAATTGATAAAAAGCACAAAATTTGGTATAAATTGAAGCTCAGAGTTCAGTGCCTAAAGTTTAGGTTTTTTTTTTTTTTTTTTTTTTTTTTTTTTCGATGCTACATTTCTACACAATGTTTGCTTATGCGGTTACTCTATCCCAATTGTAACGACCTGAACCCGTAGGTCCGAACCGCTAGCCGCGTCCTTAACCGGACCCGAGGTCAACTAAGGATAACACTATTTTTTTCTTACATCAATACATATTATACGTGTCATTCCGGGTTTATAAAGAATAAGTAATAATAAATAAATAAATAATAATAATAAAATAAGATTATATCTACAAATTATGTCAAAACAGTTCACTAGCCCATCGAACCCTGTTGAGGAGCGTCGTCCGCCACCTGCCTTCCGTGTCCTGAAAAATGTTAATGTAATGAGGTGAGCAAATTGCTCAAAAGGTAGCGCCTAAGACCCACCTCTTGTAACCCCGTGAATCCAAACAATGAATAGAAATTGAGAATAGGATTGTAAAGTTTTTGACTTTTCAATTGTGGGGCCCACTTGAGTTATAAGGGTCATTACAGACCCATTTAATCCCAAATTGCTTTCTCTCTCTCGGGCAGCTAAATCTCTCTCTCGCTGCTTCTATTTTTTTTTCTTTTCTTTTTTCTTTTTCAACTTCAATCCTTGATTTCTCTCTCAATTCTTGGCGGATTTAGGTGCCGTTTGAGGCAAAACGACGAGCACGACGAGCTCTACGTGCTAGTACAGGAAATTCCAGCTTATGGTCCTCTTTAGGAGCTCGAATTTAAGGACCCAATTTCAAGGGTTTGGTTCAATTTAGAAGTAGGGGCTCTTAATCCATGTTTTCTTGCTCCATTGTGAATTATATCTCTCTTGTTGTGACAAGCATGTTTAATTTGGAAGTTAATTGTTTCAATGATTATATAAATGATGTTTAGGAAAATTCATGATTATGAATATGAGTAGAAAAGCATGCTTAGAGGTTGTCTTGTTGTGTTTAATGTTTTGATAATTCATTTGGAGATGTTGAACATGATGTATGCTTAATTTTGTGGTGTAAAATTTTGTGTTGTCTTGTCGTGTTTAATGTGTTGATAATTCATTTAGAGATGTTAAATATGATGTATGCTTAATTATGTGGTATAAAATTCTAAATGCCATAATATTGAAAGCATGGGATATATATACATGTACATACCATTGGGTTTGCATGAAATGGGAGAAATTGTTCTTGAAATAAATATGGGGAATTTCAGGGAAGTGTTTTTGATGAAATGGTTTTATGCGAAACCCGGTCGCTGCGGGGTTACCAACGGGCCGGAGGTTAATATAGCCTAGAGGGGACTAGGGAGTCGCCCTAACGTGGTTGAGCTAGCTGGGCCCCATAATGACGCCGCGGGGTTACCAAGGGTCAGGGACACTAGCCAATCCTTCTCTCATGTCGCGGTGGGGCTACCAAAGGGCGGGCTGTATTAACGGTTTGGAAATGATGTTTTGGATTATGAAAATGGGGAGCGACATCGGCATGCATTTGCATTCCATGGCATTGCATTGTTTGTACTTGAGTTTGGTTGAAATGTTGTATTATCCCGACACTGTATGATCCCCATTCCTATTGATCTATTCTTTGTATGGATTCACAAGGACACAAGATGCGTGTCTTAAGTGTGACCTACTGAGCATATAGCTCACCCTGCATACTTATTATTTTTTTTCAGGAAACGGGAGGCGGATGACTTTCCACCACAGGCCTAATCTGAATTAGAAGACTTCTTTTGCTATTTTTGTATTAAGTCCCATATTTTTGTAAAATCTTAGTTTGTTATATTTGGTATAGAGATTCGTGAACACTTGTTATTGTAACTATATTTTGGGACTGTAATTATGATAATTTGGATTAAACGGTATGTAGATGTTCCACCATGAGATGAGCCACGTTGAGGTATATTTTTTTATGTGTTTTGTGTATTGGGACAGGTTTTTGAAGGCCCATTTTTAGGGGAGGTTATGCCGAATTTTTTTAAATTTTGGCATCAGCTAGGGTCGTTACAAATTTAGTATCAGAGCGATGGTTCGAATACCATTAGGACGACGGGTAGAGGCTTGCCTAGGGTTGTCTGGGAAGTCATTTGCATTGTTATTTTCTTGTTTGGAAAAGTGTTTAGCTATGTGAAAAAGCATGCTTAACTGCTTACTTGCTTACGTGCTTATGTGTTTATATGCTTACATTAATGTGTTCATTGCATAGTATTACATGCTAAATGTTTGTACAGTATGTTTTTGCGTTAGGTTGTTCACGGTTGGACCTTAGTGTTATCGTTCTTGAATTGTTTTCTTTGTTTTATAGAACGATGTCACGGCGTGAGGAAATCAGGGAAGTTGGCCCTAGACCGTCTAGGGGTGATGTTGGCGAGAGCTCCAGCTCCAATCCGGAGGAGCTAAATGATGAGGACACACTTCTTAGGGACTTTATTCCCCCGAGAACTGTCCCCACAAGGAGGGATAATGTTGAAGCACCCGTAGAAGTGGGTGAAGGTTCTGTGGCACTGGAGTTTAATCGTTTGTTGCAAAATGTCGTGAGGGCAACGATTGCTGCTCAGTCGCAGTCGGCACCACAACCTACAGTTCAAGTTGAGGAGACGCCAGCTCAGAAGCGTCTCAAGATTATTAAGGGGTTTTCTCAGCTGATGCCGGTTATGTTTGAGGGTGGTGCGGATCCAATGATAACAGATGACTACATGGAGCAAGTTGAAACTCAATTGACTTCTATGGATGTGACAGAGGATCATTTGAAGATCATCCTAACTGCTTATAATTTTGCTAAGGATGCTAAATTATGGTGGAAGTCGGTTACGAGCTGATACAAGCTGGAAGAGATGAGTTGGGACAAGTTCAAGGAATTGTTTTATGAAAAGTACTTTCCGATTTCCAAAAGATAGGAGTTACAAGACCAGTTTCATAACCTTATCCAAGGGAGCATGTCAGTGGCAGAATATGAAAACAAGTTCACTTCACTTTCTCGCTTTGCTCCAGAAATGGTGAGAGATGAAGTTAACAAGACTCAGAAGTTTGTTTCTGGTCTTAATGATCGGATGAGGCCGTTGATCACAGCACAGTTAATTAAGGTTTACTCTGAAGCAGTGGAAATGGCTTTGATGCTGGAAGCTGATAATAAAGAGAAGGATGCAAGAAGAGAGCAGTTGAAGCAAAAGAGGGGTGCAGGGCCATCTTCAGAAGGATCTTCTTGGAAAAGGAACAGGGGCGGTCCATCTCAGTTTCAGGGACAGCAGTCTGCACGATCTACTCCTACCACTCCGTTGCCAGCTGGATCTGATAGGAATGCAGTTGTTTGCTTTCAATGTCAGCAGCCTGGGCATTACAAGTCCAGTTGTCCTATGAGATTGACTTTAGTTTCTTCAGCTCCGAAGGCTTGTTATGGGTGTGGCCAGCAGGGCCATTTGATTCGGGACTGTCCGAGTCAGGGAGCAGGCACCACTAGTGGCAGAGGGTCACGGCAGAGGCCGTTACAGTTGGCTACAGTTCAATCAGGTTTCAGACCACCGCCGCCACCACCACAGCCTGCCTTATCTTCTCAGGGTTCACGACCAGCTAGGAGGGATACTCCTACTGTGTCGGCACAACAGTCTAGTGTTCAGATTAGTAATTCACAGGCACAGGCACCGCAGAGGCGTGTTTTTGCCCTTGCACCAACTGATGCATCTCTTGGATCTTTAGTTCTCCGAGGTATATTTCCAGTGTTTGGTTCTTAAGCCCGTGTTTTGTTTGATTCTGGTGCATCTCATTCTTTCATTTCATCATCATTTGCACTTGCATCGGGGTTAGAGGTCAGTTTTATGGATCGGGCGTTGTGTGTTGATACGCCAGTTGGAGTTTCAGTGTCTTTGAGCCAAGTCGTGAGGGACTGTTCCATTGTGATAGCCGGGCGAACTTTTGTGTTTGACCTTATCCTCCTAGAAATGACTAGCTTTGATGTCATTCTCGGGATGGATTGTTTAGCTTCTTTTCATGCCACGATCGACTGTTTCAGAGGAAGGGTTATAGTTTGTACTCCCGAGGGAGACTGTTTCTTTTTCGTGGGAGATCGGAGTGATTCCCACATTTCATCGTTTTATGGAATTCGTGGACGGAGTCGTGATTACTTTTTGGCTACCCTTATAGCCGAAGAGGATGATGTTGTGAAAGAATATTATCCTGCAGTTGTTCGTGATTTTCTGGATGTGTTTCTGAAGGATTTGACAGAGTTGCCTCCACACCGAGAAGTGGAGTTCTCTATTGAGTTAATGCCAGGTAACGCGCCGATTTCTATGGCACCGTATCGTATGGCACCAGTTGAATTGGAGGAATTAAAAAAACAGCTTGATGATTTGAGGATGAAAGGTTTCATCCGACTGAGTGTGTCACCATGGGGCGCACCGGTCTTGTTTGCTAAGAAGAAAGATGGTCCTCTGAGATTGTGCATCGATTATCGGAAGTTGAATCGCGCCACCATCAAGAACAAGTATCCTTTGCCAAGGATAGATGATTTATTTGATCAGTTGAGGGGAGCCAGTTGTTTCTCCAAGATTGACT